GAAAATAACAAGTATTGATGAAAAGGTGGAGAAGGTAGGAACGTAAAATGGTAGCTATTGTGGAAAACATTTAGTAGTTTGTCAAAAGATTAAACATAATGTTCTCATATAACCCATCAATTTTACTCCTATGTACGTATCAAAAGAATTGAAAGAAGGGATGCCAACAGATATTTGTACACCAGTGTTCATAGCATTATTCACAATAGCCAAAAGGTAAAAACAACCCAAGTGTCTATCCACATATGAAAGGATAAACAAAATGTGGTCTTATATGCAGTGAATATTATTCAGCCATTAAAAGGGTATAGGCAGGGACACATCAGCATGTAGATGGGCCTCTGAGCCCTGGGGATGACTGGGAGTGTAGGTGGAGAACACTCAGCCCCAGCCTTACTGAGTGTTTCCAACAGGAGCCTGGGTGGAAAGCTTCTGTGGAAGAGAGAAAACTGAGTGTGGTGTCGTAGAAGCCAAGACAGACCTTATTCTTGACATCTGGCAACTCATTGTCCAGTGACTTAGAGTCACTTTGGCTGCTGCTTGCCCTGGGAGATGGCATTGTCCAATAGTGTAATACTTCATAAACAGAACATATTATTGTCAGAAATTGTGCTAACTAGTATGGTATACAGAAGGACAATGTCAAAAACAAATCCAGATTTAGTTAGGAGCAACGTTTATTCAAAAAGGTTATTGCAAAGGGGAAAGGAACTATTGCAGTAGGGGAAGAGCACTATTGCAACAGGGAGAACTTGCAAGTAACTCAAGCAAATAAAGGTCTTCTTTTATAGAGAGGTGTGAACAAGGCTTGAGAGAATGGGAATGTGAGGAAATGGAATGAAAGGGTGGTGTGATCAGATGGTAGATCAGAGAATAGTTTATGCTGAGACCAGTCTGTTCTCAGGAGGGACTGTATGCTGGCTCAGGCTGAGGGTGGGCCAAAGTTCAGGGGCTTGGAGGAGGAAAGAAGCGTAGCCAAAGGTTGGTTAACAAGCATCTTGTTCCAGTTGACCAGTGGGGATGAATGATGCAGTTCATCATTTATGAGGCAAAGAATGGGAATTTAGAGGTCTAACTTTCTCCCAGGTTAAACAGTCTTATCTAAATCATGTGGCAAAGAGTGGTGGTTTGCAGTAAGGTGTTTTCCAGAATATAAAAAGGGGGTGGGGGGTAGCAATAAAGTGTGTCACTGAGAAAGTTCTGCTTATGAATCCAAGTATTACGTTGGGTGCTGTTGCTTTTACATAGCCAAAGTAAGGCAAGACATGAACTCTCCATCTCCTGCTACCACTGTTCCTTTAAACCTATCTGGTCATTTATGTTATCTGTGTGTGTTTACGTATGTCCATTTCCTACCAACAATTATCACCTTTAGTTACCGGGACATCTAATCAAAGAGGTTTTACTTTCAGAGAATATGTTAACTAAGGCATCATTTAGGCACACATAATGATTTACTATTTAGACCTAACTGCCTGACCACATATAATGATGACATGCATCCTTAGACATGTGGCAGACCCACTGCACAGGACATTGCACTTCATTATACCAGCACACTCTCTACTTGGTCAACCTGTGTTCATAAATTTTAAAATCATGTGATACAGTCAACTCTTACATGATGCTTGCTTACATCTTATAAGAGAAGCTCTTGGTGCTATTGGTGAATATGGCAGGTCTGGGCTGGGAGGATATAACTCCCTTTCCTTTGGATGCCAAGTCAGTGCAGTTTGTGGTGGAGGATTAAACCTGTGGTTGAAGCATGTGAACATGAACATGAAGTCCTCTGTTTCTGAAGCACTTCCTGTCTTCCTTCTCTCATGGCCAGGGGCCCCACCCTGGTGTTCCCATAGGCTTCTGGGACTATTCCAATTGCCCTGAACTATAGCCCTGAACTAACTATAAAGACCTATTTCCGTGCCTGTGTCCCACCTAGAATTTGAACTTGATGAGGGGAATTACATCTTTTCTATGATTACAGGCTCAGGTCTAGCCAATCCTTGAGGAAGGGTAATACCTATAACCTTCATTAATATAATGCGTCTCTCCACTGGCACATTACTAAGTGAGGTGGGAAATCTTTACACCCAAGGATATTATATGACAAAAAAACAGTGCATCTGTTTTCCGGTTATGTTTAGTATTCCCAGTCTCTGTTTCTCATCTCATTTGACCTGCTAAGTATCTCCCTATCTCTGAATCACAAGGTTCTTTATCCATGATGGCCTCAGAGAGGGGTTCTATAGACATCCTGTCTCTGCTTTTCCTCCTGGGAACAAGCCTAATAATGACAATTAATTCATTTGGCTAATAGATATATTGCTGTCTTTCCACTTTGCTTCACAGTGTTCATTCACGCTCCGGCAGTCTCCTCCTGGCATGTACACAAGCAAGGGTCTGACCTTTGACCAGCTTGCAAAAGATAGCTATTAGACGTCGTCTCTATTCATGGGCTGAGCTTTACTACAGAGGCCGTGGAGCTGCCTTCTGCCAGATTCTGGCTTATAAATGTACAGGAAGTGCAGGCTGACCTTGCCAAGTGTTCAAGGCCTGGGCACTTGCAGTCCTTTGGGTGCTGACGAGCATCTTTTTAAACACTTTCAGAGCCCCCTGTCTGCTTCCATCTCAGTGCCTACCGGAAATTTATCTTTGACTGTGCAAGCATTTAAATGGCATCATTTCTGAAGCCTCAGGAAATCCCACCTATGCACTCTCCAGTCTATTCTGTCACTTCCATTTGCCAATTGGACTCAAAGTTTAAAAAACCGAAAGGAACAGTTACATTTTAAAATAAACACTTTTTGTTGAAATGTTACATACATATATAACATTGCACAAATCATAGGTGTAAATGGACCACTCATTTAATGAATAGAACTAGGTTGCTAGAAGCACCCTCCCCCCCATGCCACCACTGCCTATGCCCACTTCCAGTCTCTCCCCTACACACACCAGGAAAACGCTATGCTGGCTGATAATATAACTTCTGCTTTTGTCCTTTATATAAATGGGGTCATGTTATATGTGTTATTTTGCATATCCAAATGCTTCTTTGGCTCAGCATTATATTGATGAGATCTATCCAGGTTCTTCTGTATATAGCTGTACTTTGTTCATTTTTATTGATGTATAGCATTCTATTGTGTGAATAAACTGCTATTTGTTTAATGATTCTAATGCTGATGGACATTTGGATTGCTTCAGATCTGAGTTATAAACATTGCTGTCATTATCACTAGTGCATTTTAATATAGGTCTTTTGATGAACATGGGTACACTTTTCTGTTGAAAATACACTGGGGAATGGAATATATGAGATATAGGATATATACATTTGGCATTAGTAGATACTATCGAACACTTTTTTTGAGGTGGCTACCCATTTATACTCCCACCAGCAGCATATAAGAGTTAGAGTCCTGGCACATCTTCATCAGCACTAGATCTGTCTTGTCCATTTAGGTATTCTGGTGGGTGTGTAATAATGTGCATTGTGTTCCTAAGTTTCATTTCTCTGATAACTAGTAATGATGAGCACTTCACTTTATGTGCATTGGCCACTTGAATATCTTTTTTAAAAATATATATTTCTTTATTGATAACACAACAGCACAAGCTTGTTGTAAGATAAAAGGAAGCAACAGACAAAAATATACTAAGAATTGGAGGAAAATACTATTTAATGTGAAATACTGGTAGAAAGTAAATTGAATACAAGGTACAGATATGTTTGATTTTATTGATAGTAAGTAAAAGAAATATATATATATATATATATATATATATATATATATATATTAGATATTTCTAAAAGTGGAACTGCTTGACAAAATAATTGAATATATCTAGTATAATGGTAAATTGTGAAGCTTTCTATTGCTTTTGAACAAACATTTTAATTGATATATAATCAGATTACATTTTAAAGTAACTGAATTTACAGTAATTTAACTTACATATTTTTTAAGATCTTAGTCAATGTGTCGGCAAGGCAGGATATTTCTTAATTTGCTGATAAAAGGGGGCTTTGAACCAATAAGCATATTGTTACCTATTGTGTCGTGTAAAAGATATGAAATAATGAGTGTGTATTTAGTGCCAAGATTTTCTCTACACTCAGTGGTATGCCAGTTCAATTCAACAAATATTTAATTATTGCTTGTGTTTTCCAGAGACCAGTGTTGGGTACTGAGGAGGAAGCAAAGATGAATAGCACCAGCCAGAGGGAGACAAGACATTAATCCAGTGACTAGGCTACAAAGCAGAACGAAGAATCATAAAGTAGAAAAGGTAAAACGCAGTGAGGACCTGGTGGAGCCTAAAAGAATTTATTTTCCTTTCTCCCTCCCTCCTTTCACTTGTGCCAGGTCGCTTATCTGACAGAGAATCTGCAATCCTGTAAAATCTCCCTCGTTCATCCTTTCCTCACATTTTTATGAGCTCGCCTGCCACCAGCACTGCATTTGGAATGGAATCTATTGTGTGGGTGGTAAAACGATGGACAGCTATTTTTGTTCTAATTATGAGAACGGGTTTTATTGGGCGCAGGTTGGAGGGGGCGGTAGGGGAGAATGAAGGAAGCAGATCCGAGACTGAGCTGCTCAGCAAGGATGCTCCGAGGAGGAGGCGTTACTAAGGTTACTAGAAAGCGGACAGGAGGTGATATTTAGGCAGGATTTTTTCTAAAACAAAACGTATTGTATTTTCAAATGAGGCGTATGGACTTAGAGCAGTGCCACTCAGTATTAGATGTGGCCCTAGTGAGAGCAGTGCCACACAGTATTCTCGAGAAAGAGGCAAAAACACACACACAAAAAAAACACAACCCTGCGGGCTGCGACTTCTAAACCGCAGGGAACCTCTGCCTCTCCTTCCTTCCGGCCATGTTCTTCCGCCGCCTTTGTTTCCCGGGAATCTTTTGGCTGTTGCACAAGGCCTGCTAACTCCCGGGGACGGTCCCATTTAGGTGTGACACGCGTCCGAGCCAGGACGGAAGCGCCGCCCAGTGGGGACCCGTAGGGAGAGGCGGGGAGGGGGCGGGTGGCGGAGGTGGCGGGGCTGCGGGGCCGATCGGGACGGGGGTGGCCCTGCAGCAGCTCGTTCAGGCCGTGGGTCGTCGCTGCAGCCGTCTAGAAAGCGGAAAACGACGACTCTGCGGGCGAACTCGGCAGAGCTGGGAGGCGGGGAAGGAGTGTGTGAGAAGTGCCGTGAGTGCATTTGGGGGTTGGGGAGAAGGACCTCGAATTTGCACCTGCCATGCAGAAGTTGATTATCTTTTTTTCTTTTCTTTTCTTTTGATAGATTCTGAAGATACCCGGCGTCTCCTTTCTCGAATTTCTCTCGGCCCTTGTCAGTTTATTCGTTGCCTGAAGTGAGTGAGGAGAGCATTTTAGTGGAACCGCTGAGTTGAGATGGGTTGTGATGGCTGAAGCGGCCAGAGAAACAAAAGAAATGGGAGAGGGGACCGGATAGGAGGTGGTGTCCTGGGATGTGGGAACTAGATGATGATGGTACTAATAGTTACATGTACCGGGTTTTACTGTACCAGACACTGTTCTAAAACCCTTTGAATGTGGTCATTCAGATTCCAGTCCAGTGAAGTCGGTCCTCTTCACTGACCTCCCTGAGAGATGGGGACCCTGAGGCTCACAGGGTGTAGAGCCTGCTCAAAAAAAGACCAGTGAGACGTGCAGAGCCAGGGTTTGAATGCTGATCCAGAACATACCTCTAAGCGGCACCCAGTGGTTGTTCCCCATAAAGATGTGAAGAAAGTGAGGACTTAAGGAGTGAGGGGCTGGGATGGCTTGAACAGATGTGACAGGTGGAGCAAGGAACTGACATAGAGTGTGATCCAGGTGAAGACAGATGTGAGGGTAGAGCTGGAAATGAAGCCTTATAACCTCGAGTCCTGGCTTGGGCCTTCCTCTCTAGGATTGTGTGGGACAGAAGAGAGGTATTCAGCCACACACCTACACTTGAAAGTGGAAATATAGAAGATAGTCAGACCTCGGTTCTGAAACATCTTCCATCTCGAATGGTTAGGTTCTCAACCAGGTTGTTCATGAAGAATTCTCTGTTGTCAAACAAAACGTTGGTTCTCAGTTATGCTGATACCTGTATCACTGTCTCAGGCAGCAAAGGAGAGAATGTGCCAGTGGAGTCAGTTTAGTGCTAAACCTCACGTTAACATCTCAGGAAATTGTGCTTAAATATTTTTGTTTTTTGGGGGGAGGGGAAGCTTTTGGGAGTCTGGAATGGATTAATTCAATTTACATTACTTCTAATGGGAAAAAATGATCCGGTTTTCGAACAGCCTTCTGGAACAATGTTCCAGAACCAAGGCTCTACTGTACTAGATCATAGGATTTAAGGATTATGTGATACAGCCACCTTATTAGATAAGGTGGCTGTATCACATAATCCTTAAAGCCCAAAGAGATGAAGTAATTTATTCAAGGTACCCAGGACTAGAAACATTTATCTTATCTTAGGTCCAGTGCAATGAAATTTAGAGTTTTTCCCCTCTTTCTTTTCTTTAATCATCACCTGAGGATATGTGTTTTTGTTGTTCTTTTTAGAGAGAAAGGAAGGGAGAAAGAGAGAAACATTGATTGGTTGCCTCTCCTATGCACACTGACTAGGAATTGAACCCCCAACCTGGGTATGTGCATGCAGGAATTGAACCTGCAACCCTTCAGTGCACAGGATGATTCCCTAACCAACTGAGCCATATATAAGGCAAACTGGTTGATGTTTCTCTCTCACATAACATTTCTCTCAAATTAATAAACATGTCCTCAAGTGAGGATTAAGGAAAGGAAGGAAAAAAATAATGTACTGTTCACAAATGCAGTAATCTAATGGAATATAATAAAACAGCATATTCCAGAGATGCAATTTGGAGTAGTGGAAATCATGGGCTTAAGAGTCTAGTAGGTCAGCTTAGCCACCTATTTGCTCTGTATAATTGATACAACTTTACGTCTCTTGTCCTTGATTTCTTTATCTCTAAAATGGAGATATTAGTTCCTCACTTGCAATTAGAAGCAGTGTTTTTAAGTACCTAGCATAATGTTTGGAGCAAAGTTGATGATAAATACACAGCAACTGTTACTACTCCCAAGTTAAATGAAAGTGAAGCATTGCTGAATCATGTATGCAGTCACATGGCAGCTTCTAGACCTGATATTTAATAAGTGGGTCAAGGACTAGCCTCTCGTTGGCCTAATGGTGAAAAATGTTTACTCGTTTTTCTGAAGGGTAAGTCTGTCATTTCAGAGTGAATGAAACTTTTAGATGTGTGGATAGCCAAGGGACATTGATATATACACCATATTCCTTTAAACTATTTTGGCGTTCAAAGATAACATGTTTTTTTTTTTTTTTTAAGATTATTTTTTAACTATTCTGTTTCGTGAACAGTGAGCAACTTAGGTTCTAAGTAACTGACTTTATACTTTACAGATGCATGGTCATGGAGGCTATGACTCTGATTTTAGTGATGATGAACACTGTGGAGAATCTAGCAAAAGGAAAAAAAGGTAATTTTTTATTGAGCTGTGCTTTGGATCCTTTCTAGATTGAGATGAAATATAAAGAAATAATATTGAAGGTTTTGGGATTGTGTTTATATGTGAAGACAATGATGTTCTACTGAGTTAATTTTTGATTAAAGATTTGAGAACAGTTATGTGAAAAATAAGAATATTTTATGCTATCAAGAGATTTATAGAAGTGGAAGGGGAAGAAGGACTTTATTTGCAGATGTCATAGCTAAGACGGGGTGTGGATGGTGATCCCTTTGCTAGTGCTTTACTTCAGAATAAGATTAGTGTAGGGGAGTTTATGGGAGTTTTTATGACTTGGAAGAAACAAAATCCGTCAGCCAATAAAGCTGGGGCTTTATAAGGAAGCTACTACATCTTGGTGGGATTGCTATTAGGTGTATGGTTTAAGCTTCTAGTGCTTAGAAACTTGATTTTATCTAGTAATTTAGGAGTAGTTGACTGATTAATCAAACTTACAAAAATTGGTTTATTATTTTACACTGAGAGCAATATATTAGAGATACTAATTGAGACTGAATATTTTTGTTGGGTAATCAAGTCTATGTGGATAACCAAAAGGACAGAAAGAATTACAGCAAACTAGAGGCCCAGTGCACAAAATTCATGCATAAGGGATGGTGTCCCTCAGCCTGGCCTGCACCCTCTCCAATCTGGGACCCCTCGGACATCCCTCTCACAGTCCAGGACTGCTGGTTCCTAACTGCTCACCTGCCTGCCTGCCAGATTGCCCCTAACTGCTTCTGCCTGGCAGCCTGATTGCCCCCTAACTGCTCCCCTGCTGGTCTGATCACCCCCAACTGCCCTCCCCTGCTAATCGCCCCACATAGCCACTGTTCAGTCATTCAGTTGTCCTTCACTAACCCTCCTGCCACCCTGGTTGCCCCATGCAGCCTGCTGTTTGGTCATTTTTACAGTTGTTTTGGTCATGACGGCCCCTGACTTTTTATATATTGGGATTACATTTCATGGATTTCCATTTTTAAGATTTTTCATTAAAAAATAATACTTTGTAAGAATAGAATTTGAGCAAATCTAGTTAGACAGCCTCCTCTGCTCTAGGGTTACATATATCTATCTAACTAACGCTAACAAATATAGTCTATATTATCTATAGCCAGTCCTTCTTTTCATATTATCAGTTCCCCAAAACTTTGATATCTCTACTTCACAAACAGGGAAATTGTGGCACAAAAAACGTGAGTAACTTAATTTTATTTAAGATTAAGATAGTGAATGCCAGAGCCAGAATTTGAACCCAGGAACCTTGGCGGTCAGACACCGGGACTCATACATTTTTGGTTTCATCTCCATTTTATAGGTATAAAAGTAAGTTAAGATATTAAGATATGTAAGGAAACATAAAATGTATCATTAAAGATTAGTGAGTCTTTTTTTAAATTAAGGCTTTAATTCTTTAAAACATGTTCCAATTGTGAAAATAAAAAGAAATAAGAAACCCTTTGAGAAAAACAAACTCTTAATAATTTTTCTTCTCAATAAACCAGGACCACAGAAGATGATTTACTGCTCCAAAAGCCATTTCAGAAAGAAAAACATGGAAAGGTGGTCCATAAACAGGTTGCAGAAGAATTGCTGGATAGGTACAGTATTTCAACATAAATCACTTTTTTAAAATTTAAGATGTTTTTGTAAGCTCGGGGACTTGAAGATTTGAATATATTAATTAGAATATAGACATTGGACTTTGCTTAAAATAAAATTTTTCTTAACAGGGAAGAAGCAAGAAATAGAAGGTTTCATCTCATAGCTATGGATGCTGTATCCTTTTTATATCTAGGTTTTTAGAACAAGTAGTATATTTTAAAATCTTTTTATTTTATAAAAATCTTATTAAGCCAAATTAATTCTTTACTTTTAAAGTGTTTATTGAATTTTTTCATTTCTACTTTTGAGTACCGTTTTTTTTGTTGTTGTTTTTTTACTAATACTGTATATAAAAAAGATTGAGGGGCAAAAATAATAAAAAACATATTCCCAATGTTCCAAAAACAGGTTTACAAAGTTAATGAACTTGCAAATATTTTTTCTAACTTGTTTTGCCAGGCTCTCAACATTTCTCATTTTAATACTATGCTTGCCCTCTGTCTCATTTTAACTCATTCTCTTCCTACCCGCTTCGTGGGTAGTTAGGGTCTTCGTAAAATAGTTTTGAAAAGTAAATCTGTCTGTAGACTGTTCTCAGGTCTGCTGTGGCTTCAACTCTCAGGTGTGAGTTGGGCCTCTCTTTAAATTATACCTTGCTTCCCTGTTTTGCCATGTCTCAGCTAAACTTTTTGGTAAAACTGTGGCTGATTACTACAGTAACTACTGCCACTGGACTTCCATATTACCGAATATTGGAAAGTGAAAGAGAAGCCAAGCAAGATCTGAAGTATTTCTAGGTGTGTTACTATGTTCACAATTGGGAGAAGGAGATAGTGTCAATTAGATGCATTCCCTCCCATCTGTAGTAATCTGTTTCACTTTGTTATCATTTCTGATACTTTAAGTCATAGAAGTTTTCTTTTCAACGATTTATTTCTCTTATCTCCTAACCCAGTTGCCAATTGCTTATATTTGCATTTCAACTTTTACTCCGCTTCTTTATTCATTTAGGGGTGTTGGGCATCTATGTAAAGCCTTGTGAGGGTGAAAGGTCCCCTTTTCTGGCATGGGTAGAGGTGGAACACATTTTTTTTTCTGGAGTGTTTGGCTGGATTTGAGTAGTTATTGTCTAAAAGTTACCTAGTTTGTTAGACTGCCACTCTCGGTTATTCAATTAGAGAAGGTTCTGGGGCTTTTTAAAAAAAAATTGTGCTAGTTGGTATTTCCATCTTTCTTCACTTCCAAATCTAGGATTTAAAATGCAAAAAAGTTAATTCACTACCATATTATATCATGGGTCCTGGGGTCTCTAGCTTCTTTCCATCTTTTAGAACCTTCCTGTTTTGTTTTTAAAGAAATTTTTACTGATCTTTAGAGAGAGAAGAGGGGAGAGAAAAAAAACATCTACAAGAGAGTGAAACATTGCATACCCACTTATGGGGGATTGAGCCTGCAACCCAGGCATGTGGCTAACCAGGAACTGAACCAGCAACCTGTCAGTGCATGGAATGATACCCAATCAACTGAGCGACACTGGCCAGGGCCATGTGTGTGTGTCTTTTAAGTATATAATATCCAAGGGATTTAGCTGTTCTTGGTGGAAGAAATAGGGAGAAGTATATCTTTGTCTACTCCATCTTTCTGGAAGAAAAGCTCCACCTACCACCTGCTTTGGAAATAGATTTTTAGAACCACAGCTGTGCTCATTCATTTAGATGTTTTCTGTGCCTGCTTTCATACTAAAATGGCAGAACTGTGCAGTTGCAACAGAGACCATATGGCCCACATATTTACAAAAAACATTTGCTAATCCTAGCTCTAAAAGATTTAAGTGACTTCCTAAGGTCACATGATTCATGAGTGATAGACCAAGAGCTAGAACCCATATCTCCAGATATTTGGCTGTTCTCTTTTTTCTCTTATGACATGTTAACTGTTTTGATCCCCGTTTTGGAAGAATATTTTGATTTGATACTCTATTAGAACACATTTTGATCAACTAAGTCACTATTCTGTATAATAAAAGACTAATATGCAAATCAACCAAATGGCGAAATGACTAGTTGCTGTGATGTGCACTGACCACCAGGAGGCAGATGCTCAAGGCAGATGTTCAAGACAGTGCTTCTATGTTGTCTTCAGTCTTTGCTCTGTGCCTGGATGTGCAAATTAACCACCATCTTGGTTAATTTGCATACTTGATCCTGATTGGTTGGTGGCTGTAGCAGAGCAATGGTTAATTTACATATTACTCTTTTATTAGATAGGATAATAGTGAAAGAAATTCTACTCCTTACCTTTAATTTTTGTACTCCTTAAATACAATTTTTTCATATTGTGATGAGTAAAATGAGTGATGGTGTGAGGCTATATGTAGTTTAGCAATAGAAGAGGAAACTTTCCTTCTCGCTGGTAGAGAGATGTTTTATCAAGAGTAGTATTTTCTTGAAAAATGTTTAAAACAATATAAACAGTATTCAGTAGAAAGTGAAAGTCCCTGTTCTCTATAATGTTCATATGTAATAGTCTAATATTTACCTTTTCTTATCTCTGAATTTATAAGCATTGTATGGTATATATTTTCATATTAACAAAGCATACTATGATTTTTATTTCTACTCACTAATATGTCATGGACATAGAACAACTCTTAAAATCCTTAATTTTTTGCATTTCAGTACCAAAGGCATGCAAAGTTTGTAAATGACTATATTTTATATTATGGTGGCAAAAAAGAAGATTTCAGGCGATTGGGGTAAGTGTCATGAAGTTTAATTGGAGGGGAGAGTGGAGATCTTTTAAAGACCCATTGCTCCTGTGTCTTCTGGTTCTGTAATTTTCCTCTACTTTCCTCTGTTGTATCATAAAGTGGAGAGACCATCCATAGCTTCTAGCTAAGTATTGTAGCTTCTCACGAAACCAATTTCTCTGGCAACAGGTAGCCTGCAGAGCTACGGCTGTCCCTGGAATAACAGATGTGAGGAATACACATATACCTGATTATGCAGGGTGTTTTGTTGTTGTTGTTTAATGCTCTTTGAACTTTTAAACCTCAGTGTTTGGGATTGCTTTTTTAAAGGTAGGGAAAACAAAAAAACCTCACTCTAATATTTCCCACATGTGAAATTGCTTTCTATATTTGAGGCTCTTCTCTTGAGAGCCTCTTGGTTTTGTTTGGGTTTTTCCCTCTGACTTAACAATTTTCTGAATTGGGAGACCCCTAAAACACTTCCTACCATATTAATCTATCTCAAACTTACCTCCCTTTCAATTCAGCCTGTATTCCCCTACAATCCCTTGTTTTACCCCTAAACTGTTAGCATCCAGAAAAATTATACCCTTCAACTCTCTTCCTTACTGTCTTCTTAGGAAGCTATAGTGAAATGAGGAATGGTAAGCTCTTCATATAATTTTAAAACTAGATCTCAATAGGGTAGTGTTATTGACATTTCTGTATTTTCTGAAAGGTATTTTTCATACATTTTCCCTTGTCCATTTAATGTTTACTCAGATTTCTCATTTTATCTTTGGTTATTTAGCACCATGTGTATAATTGAAATCAGTTCCAGAGATGGATGGTTTCTTATCCATTTAAATTGCTTCTGTAGTAGCATTCTTTATAGTGCCTTTGAAAAGTACTGAAATAATTTACAAATATATGAACATATATGCATACACATAAAACTGTCTTTATCTTTGTGTATTTCATTTTCACTTAGGTCTTCAAAAGCCTCACAAACTGTTTAACTTTCTAAATTTGACTAATTCAGTGTTTATATTAGATTGAAATAGTTTTATTTTCCAGGGAAAATGACAAGACAGACATGGATGTTATACGAGAAAATCATAGATTCCTATGGAATGAGGAGGACGAAGTGGACATGAATTGGTAATTTTAGTCATCTGACACATAATGCATCAAATGCTTTTGTTCTACCTCTCTTACCCTGCATAGAACAAATCTGAATTGAGGACATAAAAACACGCTTCAGATTACTGAACCTAGTTTGGTTCTTTTGGTAACTTTTAACAGTTTTAACTGACTTCTCATTGCTTGAGTTTGTCTTTAAAAAAAGAAAAACATTTAAAAAAATATATTTTATTATTGATTTTTCACAGAGAGGAAGGGAGAGAGAGAGAGAGCTAGAAACATCGATGAGAGAGAAACATCGACGAGCTGCCTCTTGCACACCCCCTACCGGGGATGTGCCCGCAACCAGTGTACATGCCCCTGACCAGAATCAAACCTGGGACCTTTCAGTCCGCAGACCGACGCTCTACCACTGAGCCAAACCGGCATCAGCAAGAAAAACATTTTTAAAATGATATTGTTGCCCTGTAAAATGCTTCTTTTCAAATTTTTAAAATATTTTGGGAAAAAAAGTAATACCTGAAAATGGTCCTAAAAATCTAAACATTACAAAGGCTAAAAAGTGAAGAGTAAGGCCCTTTCTCATGTCTGACTGTCAGTCTTCTAGATTCCCTCCCCGAGAGAGCAACTATAATAGTTCATATTCAGAATTCTATGCATGTATAAGTAAAAGACATCTTTTAAAACATTTACATTGTATGCATTATTTATTTGACATTGCTTCCAAGTAGCAAACTATAGTTAAATTTCTAAAGGAAGATTTATATTTTTTTGTGAATCTAGGGAGAAAAAACTTGCAAAGAAATACTATGATAAATTATTCAAGGAATACTGCATAGCAGATCTCAGTAGATACAAAGAAAATAAGGTATGCCTTCCAATATTTCTATAAGAAGGTTTTTATAAAAGTAAAGTGTTACTTATATTACACTATCTTACCCCTCACTATTCTTTTAAAGATGAGATTCTAGTCTAAAGTGCCCTGTATCTATAAGGTATCATGTGGACCATTTAACTCTGCAGCTGTGGAACTTACAAAGGGCCCCTTAGTCAAGGGTGCTTCTTTGTGAGCTGAGGCAAACAAGTCTAAAATTAAACACAAGTGGCTACTGGATCCTGTTTTCATCTTGACTCTAGTCTAGAGCCTCATGATTATAATGAATGATTTGACACTGCAGAATGACGTTTTGTTTCACAGATGAAATTGACTATTTTTTCCAAATTGTTTATCATTTGTAAAGAGGCAGATGCACATCTTTTATTACAGAAATGTCTATTTCTGTAAAATGAACTTATCCGCTAATTAGTAATGGCAGATTTTCATTCCCACTTTACATCTTATTTTAGTTAACATTAAAGGGATTTTTATTCCTATCCCATATTTCACATTTGTAGCTAGAGAAGGTGACCCAAGAACATATGATCTCAGTTTGAAGTGGCAGGGGAGGTAATGTTGCATAAATCTATATGTTTGGATTATGTACATTTATATTAAGTAATACTGTTTAAAAAAGCTGTCTTAAATTTATTTATTATAAGGAGTTTGTTTTCATTTAAATAGTTAAAACTCAGAAGCATAGTTGGTTTAATTTTCAGTAGTGCCTTTAATATGTGGGTTGCTTCACAATATTCTCATAGATAATATTAGTGTCCATTTTTATAACATATGCACTTGGTATATCCCAAAGACTTTCTCAATTTCACGTGAATTAGTTCTCATCTCTATGCTAGTTATTGCCATATTGAATTCAAAAAGCACCAAAGCAGTTGGAGTTATTGATACTTGAAAGTCTCTACATTTCAAGTTGAATGTGAAACATAGGTCTTTCTAAGAGCACATAATGAAGCAGCTTTTTCAACTGTGACTAATTTGTTGGTTGTTTTTCAGTATTTATTGAGGACTAGGCTAGGTATTGTGGATAACACCTGGTGTCCGCCCTTCAAAAAAACAACACACCAAACCTATAGTCCAGTTAAGGGAAGAATGTGTACTTAGTGAATAATTATTGTAGTCTCCACAGTATATTACTGGAAATCATACTTTAGAGAGGATAATCTTAAAACAAATTATTTTTTTCCTATTAGAACATGATGAATAGTAAGAACAAGGGTTAGTGCAAAAAGAAATCAGATAGGACTCACATGTTTTGAGTGTGAATACTAGAGAAATAGGAAATATGGAGGGAATGGGATCTTTTTTAAAAAATAAGACTTTAATCTTTTTTATAGCAGTTTTAAGTTAGCCAAATTGAGGGGAAGATACAGAGATTTCCCATCTACTCTTTGCCTCACACAGGAGGGTATCTTTTTTTTGGGAGAAGATAATGACTGTGTTTTAGCATACCATGTTTGAGGTGTTGGAGACAGAATAGTACTTTTGATTTCCTTGGTAGAATGCATTTTCTCATATTTTATTTATCCAAAGACAGTGTTTTATTCGTTTTTTAATTAACCAGCTCCTAGTTCAGTGCCTACCATATATAATAGTTAGATAGGGTATTTTTAGTGAATTCCAACCTTTGTTCCACACCTCCATTTTCTTCTTTGTTGCTTTTTTTCCTTTCATCGTTGAGAATTTGGTTAGATCATTACATCAGTTAGGATTAGATTCAGCTGAGGAGAACAGCAAGCACTCCCAAAGAACATGGCATAAATGAACTGTAAGTTCAGTCCAAGTAGATGGCATCGAACCTTGTGTCATCAGGAAGTTAAGATCCTTTTCTCTTATTGCTTGCATGTGTGAACTCTTTGTTCTAATAGAAGGTAGAGTGAGAAGAAGAGGCTCAGTACCAAGCCTTGAGTAACTCCAGAGTTTAATCCAATGTATCAGCAGAAAAATTCCTATATTCAGGAAAGAATGTAAAAACATCGAGACAAAACCTCTAAATCTTTCATATGAGGAAATTTGTCGCAGTTGTCGCTTTTAATAACCACTTTTTATCCTCAGAATGCTAAGCCCAATAAGTAGTTGTTAATTTTTTTGTTGAATAGATTAATGAATGAAAGATAAACTTTGAAAACTATTACATTACACATTTTACTGTGCTTCAGTAGGCATCTCTATGTTGGATGGAAAGCAATCCTCACCTGTATGGGTTTAAAATAAAGCTATTTTGAATTTTTTATTTCTCCTTTCTTAGACTGGGAAGATTTTCTTTGGGTTTTAATCAGAATATTTTGAAATATTGTGCGCCCTTATTTTTACTTGAAATACAAAATTGCCTGCCTTAGCCTGTTTGGCTCAGTAGTTGGAGCATTGGCCAACTGACTGAAGGGTCTCAGATTCAATTCTGGTCAAGGGGTATGTACCTGGGTTGCAGGCTCCTTCTTCGGGTCAGGGCAGGTAATCAATTGATGTGTCTCTCTTACATCCATGTTGCTCTGACTCTCCCCCTTCCTTCCATTTGCTCTGAAAATCAGTGAAGAAAATATCCTCAGATGAGGATTAACAAACAACAACAAAATTGCCTAATTCAAATAATAGTTGGTTTAAAAAAATAATACAACAACCTATGAGATTAGGATTTTTATAACAAGGAAATAGACTAGATTGAGACTTTTAACTATTACAAAAGTACACCATTACTAGAATTATGGTAAATTAGTTTATGAATGTGAAAGATATTAAAAAGCAATGGAGAAAAACCATTTTTAATAAAAAAACAAAGTTGTGTTTAGGAATCTGGAGGGCAGTTTAACATATTTCTGCTTTAGGATTCCAAACTGGTACCATTACTCTTTCCTGTTTATGACTATACTGCTGTAGTGGGAAGAGAGCCACATGAATGAATGATGTGGCTGTGTTTATAAAACTTTATAAAAATAGGCAGCAGGCCTATTAGCCATAATGTGCTAACCAGTGGTATAATATATACCAGGTACAATTCTAAATACTTTATATGTATTATTTAAACCTCTTAACCCAAAGAGGTAGACGTTGTATTACTTCTACTTTACAAATGAGGAAACAGGAACAAGTAGATTAAATAGCTGTTTAGTGGTAGAACTAAGAAGTAAATCTAAACAGTGTGACTCCAAAGGCTGAATACTTGTGCTGTGGTATACTGCTTCTTACTGTACTATAACCTCGTTTTCTGTTTTCTGTCAGTCATAGGAGATACCGATCTATCTATACACACACACACACACACATAATTAATTTAGATGTCTTTTGGCCTGGCATCTATAGTTTTTTAAAGTAAAGAAGATTGTTCCTTAACAGATAAATTGGTAATTGTTCAAGTGTATTTTTAAGTACCTGGAATCCTATAAGGAGAGAAAAAGCTATGATAATGGGAATTAGTTTTATTTTTAGGTTAATAAATGTCATTATGTCAGTTGTTGTCTCCAGGTTTAGATTTATTATATACAATTTAAATAACGTTTAAATTTAGATTTATTATATACAATTTAAAATTATATTAAATTAGATTTATTATATACAATTTAAATAACATTTAAATTTACTCTGGTATAAATGTCATGTTTTTTTCTTGTCAGTTTGGATTTAGGTGGAGAGTAGAAAAAGAAGTAATTTCAGGAAAAGGTAATTTTTTTCTTTAAAATTTTATATTTTAATAGGATAAGGTTATTTTGTTATATTATTGAGATTAAGTCATTGGGTAAGATTATTCCTAATGTATCAGTGAATAATTACCCACAAAAGTAAAATTAAAGAAGGTATACTCATGATGTATTACTAGCAGAGGTCAATATAATTAATGCTTTAGATTTTTACCTTTAGAATTTTTGCTTTTAGAATATTCAATTGAGGATAAGTAGGAAGTGTTTAGAATTAAAAATTTAACTCTAAAGTTAAATATCAACTGGTGAATACTTGACTTTTTCTCTTTATTTTTGGAATAATGAGTTGGTATTGCTATATTACAATCAAATCACCATTTTGAAAGTAGAAATTAAATATCACTTTGAACCTAATAAAATTTTTGGACAAGCTAGTTTTTTCGGGGAGTCACTGAGATTGAGTCCAAATATTTACTTTTACAACAAAATAACAGACATTTGGTAGGCAATCAGCAAATGCTTTTCCCGTGTATTATTATAATCTATTCACAAAATTTTTCTGAATACTTAATATCTCTACACTGTCATGCTATAAAATTCTCTCTTTATCTATAATTGCATTTTTAATTGCAACAAAAATTAATGTCCTCTGAAAACTACAGAGGAGCATTTAGGAAATAATTTTAAATTAATAACTTAAATTTCTTAAAATAAAGCTTGTATTTTAAATGAGTAAACATTTATGCCATCAAAGTGGTTTATATACATCTGCTATAAATTTGAACGTCTATGACAGGTGTAAAATTGGACATGCAATTAAGCAGTAGGAATTTTTTTTCTTTAGGTAATAAATATTAGCCTTGAAGCTACTTTAGAGGACAAGGAAAAATAATAAGTTTAAAACTTTTTAAGCTTTTCTTGATATCACATTTTAGTTTGTTTTTACCTAAAACAATGATATATATTCAGATGTCTATCACTATTTAAAATTTTTGTACTTTCATTGAATGGAATTTTCAGATGATGGTAGATAATGCTGCTTTTTAAAACCTGGTGGACATTCTCGGAATTAAATTAACTAAAGAAAAGATTAGTTGGGAAGGGGAGAGAATGCTTTTGCTATCCTATATAATAAAGATGTAATATGCAAATTGACCATCAAGTCATCACAAGATGGCTGCCTGTGACCAGTCCAGTAGGGGGATTAGTGAAGGACAACCAAATGACTGAACAAGCAGGCTGTGTGGGCCACTAGGCTGGCGGGGCGGCAGTTAGGAGCGATCAGGTCAGCATGCAGAGGCAGTGAGTAGTGATCAGGCCAGAGGCATTGGGGGGGGGGGGCAGTTAGAGACAATCAGGCTGGCTTGCATCGGGCCTAAACTGGTAGTCAGTCCCCCAAGGGGTCCCAGATTTTAGAGGATACCAGCTGGGCAGAGGGGACTCCCCTCCTCCCCCCCTGCACGAATTTTGTAAACCATGCCTCTAGTGATTTATAAAGGTACAATTTTTGTTGCTGTTTTAACAATAGAACTATTACTGAATATGTACAGACTTAATAAAGTACTCTTCTGAAATAAGTAAAAATGCCAATTTAGAAAAGTTGTAGGACTGATAATTTTCAAAATTCATTTTGATAATTTAATTTTTATGAAAAGTTCAGATTCCTGCTGGTACAAATTATTAAGATACAAGTTTTATTTATACAAATAAAAGTTTGATTTTTTTTTCTGTCAAAGTTAATAATCTTTGAATTTCTTTCTCCGCCCCCTCACCCCCTTCTTGGCTCATCAGTATTAGTCCTTTATTACAGAAGGTTTTAATGTACAATGGATATGATAATGTGGTATTGATTTTAGTGTCAAGTGATTCTAAAATTTAGAGCATTGGATTTGGTTACTTTATCTACTTCATCTCAAAGTGCTAGCACTTTTAAATGTGCTTTTAATGCCATTTTATGTTGATATCTAAAATGCCATTATATTAATACTTAAAAATATCAATTGTAATAATATTATTAAATATTGAAAAGGATTCACCCAGATTAGGGGTGTCGAACTCAATCAGAGAAGGGGCCAAAATCTAAAATCCAGCCTAAATCGCGGGCCGAATGGTTTACTGAACAGTCATAAACTGTCATTGTGATGGAAATGCAGTGGAGTGCAGTGATGACAGCGCGGTGCGGGCCACATTGCAAGGCCTGGAGGGACGGATTTGGCCCGCGGGCCTTGTGTTTGACACATGTGACCCAGATGTATGTGTACTTTGGAAAATATATTTATCCTTTTAGGGTATTAGTGAGTATATATACTCTTTCAGTATTATCATTTTCCAAAGTATACAGTTCCCTAACAGGGACACTAAAATTTTGTCTGTAAATATAAACAGTCTATTAAGCAAAAATTCTGTGACTTGTTTTTTTAATTAATTTAAAAAAATTGATTTTGAAGAAAAAAATATTGATCTGTTGCCTGCCACATGTGCCCCAACTGGGAATTTGAACCTACAACCTCAATATGTGCCCTGACTGGGAATCCAACCCACAACCTTTTGGTGCATGAGAAAACACTCCAACCAATGAGTCACACTGGCCATGTGACTGATTTTTTAAAAATATATATATTTTATTGATTTCAGAGAGGAAGGGAGAGGGAGAGAGAGTTAGAAACATCAATTGTGAGAGAGAATCTTTGATCGGCTGTCTGCCTTCTGCACTCCCCCCCACTGGGGATCGACCCCATAACCCGGGCATGTGCCCTTGACTGGAATTGAACCCGAGACCCTTCAGTCCCCAAGCCAATGCTCTATCCACTGAGTCAAACCAGCTAGGACTGATTTTTTTTTAAAACCAGTTCTCTCATCCTTTTAAATTGTTACTTGTATATACATTTGTTGAATGTGTTATAATTATTGTGGTCAGTTTATTAATGCTGCTTTGTAGAACTAGGAATTTATGTAAAGAGTAAATTTCAGCCATAATACAAGGTTAGATAGAATCTTGTCACACCTTTCATAGCTAATAATTCCTTTTTTTTCTTTGCAGGCCAGTTTTTCTGTGGAAATAAACATTGTGATAAAAAAGACAACTTAAAGAGTTGGGAAGTTAATTTTGGTTATATTGAGCATGGTGAAAAGAGAAATGCACTTGTTAAATTAAGTAAGTTGACTAGATGATTCATTTCTTCAAAGTTTAATAATTTAGATTTTAAAATATATGGACTAATTTAAGACTCAATTCAAAATTTTAATGTTTCTTCCTGTAAGTGCCCTTTTTCTCAGAGCTTCCCAAAGTCACAAACAGTGTTTGAGCCAAACATGTTAGTATCCTCAGCAATCTGGTGACATTTGGGAAAAACAGTTCTAATGTTAATGTAATGCCATTGGTAAAGTGAAGACCTCTTTTCATTAACTTGAGAACGTCACCAATGTAGAGTGAAATGTATAGTATCAGAAAAGGCTCTGTACAATCTCATATTAGCTGGTAGCTATTGTTGTGGTGGAGATAATAATAAATATATTCTTTGTGTCAATAAAGAAAAAGTTTTAGGAAGGCATAATTGTTCTTGATATCAGTCTTCAAAGCTTAGGGTTGCACCCGAGAATATAGTAGTTTCTCTTAATATGCATGTTTTAGAATCTGTTATTCATTCTTTTTCCCCCCTAAGCTGGTATTATGTCATCTTCTCTTCACCATATTAATAGCCTTCTCTAATACCTAAATAAATGTACCGTCAGAGTGTTCTCCAGAAAGAAGTCATAAATTTCCCCGTATGCTACTTAACACGCAGTACAGACTGGTTTCTGAGTTCCTCCAAGAAGTGCTTGCTCATGAGGAAACATCTACTAGTGTGACTGAGAGTAAGACAAAACAAGAGGCCACAGTTGAAGAACTTTTTAAACAGCCCTCTTCCTTTTGAAAACTCCTAGAGCACTTTACTATTGTTACCAGATATCTTTGATGTAAGATACACATTAATGCTGCCTATTGCTTTTAGAATAAATTAAAGACGCATTTTTCTAAAGTAATGTTAGAATTTCAGTTCCTCAAGCATTCGAATATTATTTTAATATTAGAATTGTATTGCTTTCTCAGCTTATTTGTTTCCTCTCATCGTAAAAGAATATAAGGGAAAATGAGAATTTATGATACTAACGGTAGAGGAGCAGTGCAGTTATTCACATTCAGCAGTGTGACTTTTTTCCTTTTTTTTTTTTTTAGGATTATGCCAAGAATGTTCCCTTAAATTAAATTTTCATCACAGGTAACTTATCTTTTAAAATGCTATTTTTAAGTGTTAGTAGTCTTGGACATAGTCCCTTATCTGCATTGAATGTTTAAATGTAGATTTGAAGGGTTGATAGTTTGATTGGTTGATTATATAGAACAGTGTTTTCCAAAGTGTGGTATGCATACCCCCAGAGGTACGGAAGAGTTTGGTGGGGGTACGCATTGTACCGGAGTTTGGTGGGAATATGCACTGCACCGTGCTTAGCTGGGCCTAATTCTACATTCTCATGAGTATGAGGGGTACTCAGCATTACGAAAATTATAGAAGGGGGTACACATACCTATGTCAAAAGTTTGAGAAACACTGCATAGAATATTGACATCACTTTATGGCCACATACACGAGAGAACTGGAATGGAAATTCATGGTGCCTTAATCTAGCCATCCAGTTTTAAATGTGAAGGCTTGTGCAGGATGGTAGATAGATCCTAGAATTTTTAGTTTGGAGTCTATGTTCAGATACCATGATGTTCTTAGAAACTGTATTATAAAGCAGATCTTCATAATGTGATTCTTATGTCTCATTTAAACAATGTTTTAATTGGAGTTTGTCATTCATAGCAAAGGATTATAAACCTCTGTGTTAAAATCACGTTTCTACCAAATGAACTAGAATGTGTCTGCATACTGAGTAGATGAGGGTTATCAGTATTCGGCAAAGTGCAGTACATGTAAGATTATGGGCTTTGAAATCAGACCCCTGTGTATTACTAGTATCTTCACGATGACTAGTAAGTGGAGTAGCTGAGTTAGAGCATTCTCACCTTTCTCTGAGTTATAGCATTCTCACCTTTTCCTATTAAATATTTCCTTTTATCACCAATTAAAATCAATTGCTTGACAACCATGGTACCAATAACCTTGTAAACCTGGCCTAGAAGAAATAAAGTTACAGCAATAAAAGGATAAATGGTCTAATGTAGACATATGAGTTAACAATACATCCTTCCACCCTCATTCTATAATAGTTTCACTAAAGGGTGCAGCAAAAGTAGTTTTACAGTTGTGAGTATATGAAACAGAGTTTATTCTTGTATATTTATTGTTGCATTGTTTTCCATAAGAAACAATTGTAAACCTATTTTGCTCTACTCTGCATATTTATTAATTCTTAAGAGAATTTTCTGTTTATTGATGGTGTAGAACTGTGGATTCTTTTTGTTGTATTTGTTTTTCAAAGAATAAGTAGATAATGAATTATTTGAAGGGAAATGAGATTTGTTTTGTAATTTTCTTTTAAATAGCTAAATAGAATATAAAAAGAAGGAAATCAGTAAAAGTATGATTTATATTTACTAGGTTTGTATATAGAACTTATAAATAATAATTTTTTGTCTCAGAATTTTCAGGCATTATTATCTTACAGAATTGTCCAAAATGAATACTAACCTAAAATACTTACAGTCTCATTTAAGGAAGTACTTTACTGATTTTTTTTTCTCATTGGTTTTAATTTTTATAAAGGTCAATTGAAAAAGTTGAAAAAATTAACTTTAATTTTATATTGTTCAACATAAAGGAGAAAAGAAGTTAAGTCCAAAAAAAGGAAGGACAGAATCAAAAAAGATTCTGAAGAGTCACCACATAAAAAATCCAGGTTATCTCCTGCAGAAGGGACCTCTAAGAAAAAGAACAAAGGTAAAGGGGAATTAGGATACTATATCTACTCATATTTCTGAAAATGAAGTGTGATCTTTCATATGTTTCAAATGTAGAATGTAATTGGTGAATATGTTTAGAATTCTGTTTTATAGTTGTTGACAGGAATCTGATTGGAGAATCTAGATATGAATTTATAATAATAGGAGTTTCACGAACAAGATTGGTTTTGATTAATTTTTGGCAGATGGTATAATATTTTCCAAAAAGCCTTCTAATTTCTGGATTTGTCACTTAAAGGCTTGTTACCTTGAGCAAGTTACTGAAATCTTGAGTTTTACTTTCCTTATGTAAGTAGGAGTAAATAATACTATCTAGCCTCTGTAGAACGTGAGCTTATCGTGGAGAATCAAATAATGTGAAAGGCACTTTTAACACTTTAAAACAGCTGTTGCCAACCTTTTGGGTCCGCAGACCACCGACTGGCGACTGCTGCTCCAAAGGTTTCCTCAAACCAGCGGTCGCCAACCTTTCGGACCTCACGGACCAGCAGTGGTCCGCGGACCAACGGTTGGCGACCGCTGCTTAAAATAATACATAATCTATAAGTCAGTATAAAATTATAACACTATGATTTCAATTATGGTCTGATTTTCTCATTAGCGTATGACCTTCTTGAAATGATAGAGATTGATATAATGTGTCATCAGAATCTAGCATGGTGCTGTGCACATATACTGAGTAAATAATTATTAAATTCAAATTCATCAATTTTCCTCTGCAATCTTTAGGCTTTCTAAGCCTTCATTTCTTCATGTCTAAAATGGTCATGATAATAGTACCTAGCTCATAGAATTGTTCAGAAGTTGAAATGAGATAATACATGTAAGCAATTTACTTGGTACTTGCCACATAATTAGCTATTATGAAGGTTACTGCTAATTGTTTTTTCAGTCCCTAATAGAATCAGATTGGCTATAACTTAGAGTGATTTAGACTTAAATTAGGTAGATAATGGTAGATTGAATTAAATTCAGTCCAATGCTAATAAATACTTGAACAGGAGAGGGCTCCCTTGCTTCAGCTGTGAAGATCTTTAGCTAGGTTACATTCTTACATGCATTTTTTTTTTCTTCTGCTTGCATATTATGCTATATTTAAGTTTATAGTATTATCCAGTTTAGGCTTGACAAAATTGATAGATTGAAAGGAAAATACTATTATTCTATTGTTTATTGAGAAATGACATTCAAACCAGAATGCCTTTTTGTCTCTATCTTAATCATTAACTCTAAAATAAATTTTAATTAATAAATGTGAAAATATAATTTGAGCTTTTAAAAAATTTTATATACTCTTACGTTCTAGTAAAATATTTGAAAATTTTGTTGCATTCGTTTTTGTATTACATAATATTGTTACATTCATATCAGAGTATGATACCATGTTAATCACTGCATATTCCAAATTAAAGAAGAACTAATCCCTTGTAAAATTTATTCATTACCTTCAAAACAGATAATTAGGTAACTGGACACTTGGGATAGGTTGCACCATGCATGTTATCTTCCTTATAAATATTTTTTCTTCAGTATTCCATATTTCAGAAGATGGCAGACATATTTGTTAACCCATATAATAATATCAGAAACCTAGGCATTATCCTCGATGCTGACTTTTTTTTCTTTCATTATTTATGTTTAACTTGTCACCAAATTCTATCAGCTTTACCCCAGGATATATATTTCTCAAGTTCTCTCTAACCTAGTTCAAACTACCATGTTTTCTCATCTAGGCTTCTGCTCTATTCTCCTTACTGGTTTCTTTACTGTCTTGATTTCCCACCTTCTCTTAATCTGTTTGCCCTAATGCAGTGATATCCTCTTGTTCTTGGGATAATAACCTAAATCCTGGACAAAGCCCAAAGACTCTATCAGGCGTCCTCAAACTTTTTAAAGTGGGGGCCAGATCACGGTCCCTCAGAGAGCTGAAGGGCTGGACTATATGAACTATTAATTCCTACTGTAACACCTCGGCTGCGCTCACTGCCCAAAAAACCTGGCGGGCCGGATCAGACTCCTCTGCGGGCCGCATGTGGCCCGCGGGCCGTAGTTTGAAGATGCCTGCTCTAAATAATCCTATATAATAAAAGCCTAATATGCTGTCTGGTCTTCTAGTCGTCCATTCAACCAATTAAAGTGTAATATGCTAATGATATACTAAGGCCCCTCAACCACTCGCTATGATGTGCACTGACCACCAGAAGGCAGACAGTCGATTGGTTGACCAGTCGCTATGACATGCACTGACCAACAGGGGGCAGACAGTTGACCAGTAGAACAGTCACTATGATGTGCACTGACCACCAGGGGACAGACGCTTCTACCGGTAGGTTAGCTTGCTCCTGGGATCTGGCCTATCGAGACCTAGCGAAAAGGGCTGGACACACACTGGAGCCTTCCTGCAGTCCCTCCCCAGCTGGCCAACTTCCTGCATCCCTCCCCAGCATAATCATGCATCAGTGGAGTGCCTTGGCCTGGCCTGCGCCCTCTTACAATCCAGCACCCCTTGGGGATGTCAGAGAGCCAATTTCGGCCCTATTCCACAGGCCAGGCAGAGGGACCCCACTGATGTATGGATGAATTCGTGCACCGGGCCTCTAGTCTTGTGTACAAGGCTTGTTTCTCACAACTCTCCACCTCACTTTCATACTTTACCCACAGAGCCTTTTCCTTTCTGGAAATTCCAAACTTTTTTAAATTTAGGGACTACACTATTTCCTCTCTTTTTAAAACTCCCAGTCCCGCTGAAACCGGTTTGGCTCAGTGGATAGAGCCTCGGCTTGTGGACTGAAGGGTCCCAGGTTCGATTCCGATCAAGGGCATGTACCGTGGTTGCGGACACATCCCCGGTAGGGGATGTGCAGGAGGCGGCTGATCGTTGTTTCTCTCTCATCGATGTTCTAGCTCTCTATTCCTCTCCCTTCCTCTCTGTAAAAAATCAATAAAATATATATTTAAAAAACAAAACAAAAAAAAACCCCTCCCAGTCCCATCCTAACTTATCCTTCAGGTCTAGCTTAAAGGTCACTTCCTCAGGGATCATTTCCTAACTCCATCCCTAACCATGGATCTGAATTAGAACTCCCATTTATAATGATATCACAACCCTAGAACTTTTTTTTTCATTATACATATGACAATTACATAAAAGCCCAAGGAGTGCCAAAACCAGTTTGGCTCAGAAGATAGAGCGTCAGCCTGTGAATTGAAGGGTCCTAGGTTCCATTCCAGTCAAGGGCATGTACCTTGGTTGCAGGCACATCCCCAGTAGGGGGTGTGCAAGAGGCAGCTGATCAATGTTTCTCTCTTATCGATATTTCTAACTCTCTATCCCTCTCCCTTCCTATTTGTAAAAAAATCAAATATATATATATATATATATATATATATATATATATATATATATATATATTTACTTTTATTTTTATTTTTTAATAGCCCAAGGAGATCAGGAATTCTGTCTGCTATGTTCATTACTATATCTCCAGCACCCATTAGCACATTAGGAATAAAGAATGAGAAAATGAAAGATTTTGAACATTGTTTCAAGCAAGTTCAGGGAAAGAAAACCAAACATAGTGGAATTGAATTATCTTGTTTTTATTTATTCAGAGTATCTTTGATAGCAGATAGTACAGAATATAGTTGTGGGTTTTTTTTTCCAGCTTAGGTGATAGAAAGTAGAAAATGACTTTTTAGCCAACTTAATAGGAAAACCATGTGGAACTCTTTAATATCTTCTTATTGGAACACTCTGGAACTAGAATGATCTTGATGTGATACTCTTTTGCTAGACCACATGTGTCAAACACAAGGCCCTTGGGCCAAATCCGTCCCTCCAGGCCTTGCAATGTGGCCCGCACCGCGCTGTCATCACTGCACTCCGCTGCGTTTCCATCACAATGACAGTTTATGACTGTTCAGTAAACCATTCGGCCCACGATTTAGGCTGGATTTTAGATTTTGGCCCCTTCTCTGATTGAATTCGACACCCCTATGCTAGACCATCTTAATTTGGCTCAAACTTGAATAGCAATTAATAAATGCTTAATATCACAGCTGCACTTAGACTGTTGACACTCCTTCTCAAAACAATCTACTTCTTTTTATTTCCTTCCTGTCTTCCTGGCCTTTCCTCATCTTTTTTTTTACTACAGTTCCTCCTTGGTCTTACCCTTAGATGTTGGAGTTGCTCAGGCTGTTATAGACTTTCTTCTCTCTCTCTGTTCCTCCTGTATGATCCCATCTATTCCCACAGCTCAGGTTACTGTTACATAAAATGTTACTTATGTTTGGATGAATGGATGGATGGATAATTGGATGGCTGGGTGGCTGGGTGAATGGAGAGGATGTGTAAGAAAGACAGATCAGTAGCTTGACTTTGAGGAACAGTTTGATTTGGTAGGTATGAGCAGAACTCACCATAGGTAGACTGACTTGACAAAAACTTTAGGATCTTTCCCCTCCCACCACTACCCCATTCCCAAGCTCAATACCTTGGAAAGGCCTTTTCTGACATCCTTCACCCCACTCTTCAGGTACGGTTAAGTCCCTGTTACACATTTCAGTTGAACTCTTTTGGAAGAACTCACTAGATAACCATTGTAGAACTGAACATTTTAGTTTTATGACATAATTGTACATGTGATTTTTCAATTACTGAGAATTCTCACCTGTATAGGATCTTTGGAAAAGTATTTTGAAAAATGAGTATTTATTTGTAAACAGCTTTCAGATGTTCAACATCTGTATAAAGTAGTGGTTCTATTGGGTGTTTTTTTTGTTTTTGTTTTGTGTGTGTGTGTTTTTTTAGTAACATGAAAGTTTTTTACAGCTATTTATTATTTTTTAAGCTTTGTGCTAGGTATTCCAGTCCATATGAAGGCATAAACTGTCCCTGCAAAGAACCTAACATTTTAACTAGGGAAATAAGTCTAAGGAACATGAAAGATTGGAAGACGGTGGATCACTTTTCTGTAAGACTATAATGTAAAGACTGTTAGGAAGAATTCTGATTACAACTATGACTATTGCACTACTGCAAGAGGATTCTTACCAAAAAATGCTGTTTCCTTTTTAGGACATTCATCCTCAAAGAAATCAGAAGATTCTGTAAACCGTAAGTATTAAGTATCTGTTTATTTAATAAAAATATGGAGATTCAAGTTATTTGCAATTTGGGTTTCTCATGAATTATGATCTGCTGTAATGTAAATTATTTTTTGTTTTTGTACTATGTGAGAAAAATCATAGAAAAAGGCCAGATGTGTATGATTTCTTCCCCAATTAAGAACACTTAAAAGTTTCTTAAGTATTAGGAGAGCATTTATTTTTTTTTCTGTGGATACAATAGATACACATTTTAATTTTACATTATGGATTATGAAGGAAGAGAAATGGAGGGATGGGGTTGGAGGTGGATAAAGATTTAAGAAATGTTGCACGGGACTGAGTTATCTCTGTCATTTGGTAATTTTGATCAAATAAAGATTGTGATTTGTGCATGGAAAGCAAATGGTAGTTACTTTTTTAATAAGTCCTATGGTTTTCACAAGATTGGATCAAACCAAACTTATGAACTATTTGCTACTTCCACTTCCAACACAGAGTCAGTGACTTAAATTCTGACGCCCACTTGCCAATAGGTTTGCATAGATTTGACACTGATGCGAGAGTTTCATTTTGTATTGCCCATTGTACTAATTGTTATTTCTTTAGCACACTCTTCCCATCTCTGGTAGGGTATAGCAGTTATCATAGGAATTAGTTTAGTTAAAAAAATAAAAATAATAAAGATACTTCTATTTTAAAATTATGACAAAATTGATATTTTTCAAATCAATCACCCTAAACTAGTCAACTAAAAATGACCAAATATTAAAATATAAGGCAATAAAATTATATGCCACAAAGTAATTACATTAATAATTAATTCTTTTCCAAAAATGACCATTCGTCTAAAAAAAGAGTTGACACAAATTTGGCCTGTCAGTACAGAATGTCAATACAGAATGTCCTTTACTTAAACACCACAAAAATAAAACAGTACTGGTTTGCCACGGTGGTTCTAGCCTTTTACCTGTTGAACTTTGATTCTTGAATCAACATGTGTATCTGAACTTTGGTCCTAACTGAATCTGTTCTGGCGCACATTATAACAAAAAAATGGATAAAAAGAGGGGGTACGTTTCTAATGATCTACATACAAAGGTGAAAACATTACAAAGCCTGTCACTCTGTAATAACCAGTGTCCCAAATGAATATATGAGAAAAATCATGTCTTCTCTTATTTTTATGAAAAAACAAACAAATCCCCCCCACACACAAAAAAAACCACCCCTGACTAATTAGGCCAAATCAAGTTATTACTATGATGTAACCCTGTTAATGATATAAGAGAACAAATTCTACAGTGCCTTTGAAAATGGACAGCTAATTTAAAAGGCTTTACAACTCTCATATTCCTTCTCAAGAGTACTTTTCAGTTTCCAGATTTTCTACAGTAGGTAGTTTTCTGATGCCAGATGAGAGGACCAGTTGATTCCCAGTGGAATCAGGCTCGATTCCTAGTAGGGGATGTGCAGGAGGCAGATGATTGATGATGTTCCTCTCTCATCGATGTTTCAATCTCTTTATCCCTTTCCCTTCTTCTCTCGCTAAGAAAAAAAGAATCAATAATAATATATTAAAAAATTTGATATAACATATTTTTCCATGGTAATACATACAGATATGGTAAGGTCTTTTTTAGTAGCTGTATAGTATTTATTAAATCAATTTTTAATCCCTAATTGGTTGGGATTTAGGTTGTTCACTTTTGTTGTTATTATAGTGCAATGAGCATCTTTATACATATATTTAAGGTGCTTATTTTAAGTAAATAATTAAATTCCTAAAAGCATCATTGCTAGTTAAAAGGTTATGTATTTTCTAAACTAATCTATATTACCAGATTTTCCTAAAGAAAAAGTTTACAGAATTTTTACTCTTAATAAATACGTATGAGAATTCCTGTTTCTTCACTGAAATAGGCCTATTCTCATTAATATTTTTTATACAAAAATCTTAATTTACATGTCTTATGTATGACCAAAAAAAAAAAAAGAAAGAAAAAGAAACTAATCAAGGACAACCACGTATAGTGCAAGAGATAGTTCCCTTATAAGAGTTAATATTGTAATTACTACTTTAACTTAATGTAACTTAGAAAAGTTTTCCATGAGACTTTAAATCCTCTGTGTTTTTTGCCAACACTCTTTAGTGTATCTCAGATTATTTATTTATTTTTAGAAAGAATTTATTGGTCTGGAAGAATGAAATAAATTTCCAGAGAGCCATAAAAGTTGAAGCTAAACTGCAGTTAAATCTGAAGTTAATTTAATTGCATTGGTGGGTATTTCAAAATGTGTTTTAAATATAATACTTATGTTTTAAAAAATATATTTTTTAAATGAACAGGAAGCTCTGACGAGGAAGAAAGTACCTCAGAATCTGAACTTTGGAAGGGCCCACTACCAGAGACTGATGAAAAATCACAGTAAGTTCTAATATTGATAGATAATGCACATCTTTACATCAGTTTAGGAAGCTCTGACCACAGCCATTCTTGATAGCAGTTAATGAAAAACCTTATCATCATGAATGTCTGTTTAATGCCAAGGGCCACTTAGCCTGGTAAGATCAGTGTATACCCAGCCATTGTTTGTAGCCGTGAAGAACCAACTTGTTCAGCTTCCTCTTGGTGAGTAAGTCTTTCCTCAGCTCTAATAGATGATGACCTCTGGTTTCTGCTTAGATTCCTTCTGTTGTTTACTAGCTTCTAGAGCAGCCTGCCAATGATATTTTGGTTATCATAAACTTGAACTTAATGCTATTTGAAGACATATACAGGTATAACATTTAATTGCCAAAATCCTTTCCCCCAAAGACAGGTAACTCATTGCATGCATTTTTTCTGCTGTGGGTTGTAAGAGCTGTCCATTTATGAGATAGAATAGTATCAACTCTTTTCATCTACTGGGATGTCACCACTTAAACTTTATCTGTTAAAAGAGGATAAATGATACCTATTGCATAGAGCTTATTATTAAAGTTTGATGAAATGAATTAAATACCTGTAAGTACAATAATTGCTCAATAAGTTTTAGTCTCATTTTGTTAGTTCCTAAGCATTTTTGGTTCATAATACTGTAGAAAGAAACTTAAATCAGTCATAATTTAATAATTTAAGCTGATTTTAAAATATCTTGTTAAATATATGTTCTCTAATAGAATTCAGATGCATTTGAAAGAGTGTTTTGTTTTGTTTTAAAAAAAATTACTTTTTTCTGTATCCTTTGTTCTTTTTACTTATTTTTTAACCAAATAATTTTCATGTGTGGCCATTATACATCACATTATTAAAAAGTTATTGCTATAAGTAAAATATTGCTATGATAAATTATTGGCTAAACTTTCAACTGTATAACTTCCCCTTGAATAGCTTTACTGCTGAAAATAACAGAATAGGTTTTAGAGTTAACTCATCTTTTTAGACAATAAAGACACTTGATTAAATCCTAAGTAGGCTTTTATAATCCAGAACTCTATGATTTTATAGAAACTTGACATTGGTCAAGTACTGAACATCTGAGTACACACAGAGATTCAGCTAATTTTACTTATTTAAGATCTTGCTATAATTTAAAAAATTCTGTTGCATTCTCTGCCATGCTAGGGGAAAGGGACAGTAGCACAGGGAATACCAAGTTGCAGATAATTCTTAAATCAACTTTATCTGATTCTGTAATTTTTTTTCAATTTTGACATGGTTGTGAGGGCTTTATGCAGTCACAGTTATTTAAAACCAAATGATAGAGTCCCATTGTGTATCTCTGATCTAAAAAGAATGTTTTCTAAAGAGACTGGTACACCGAATTTGACTATTCAGCTTGATACCCCATTCTCAGATGGAAGAAAAGCAACTTTATATACATTTAATCCTTACAGCAACTCTATGAGGAAATGTAATGTTCTCTATTCTTACAGAAAAGTAAACTGAGCCCAGAGGAGTTAAGTAACTTGCCCCCGCAGCTAATAAGTGACAAAGCTGTGGTTTAAACACTGTCTGACTTGAAAACATGTACCATTTCCACAGTACCACTCTGGCTCCTAGCATTAATATTTAGTTAGTACTTAATAATTTTTATAGTATTTAAACACATTAAAATATAATTAATATCTCTTTCAGAGTTCTATTCTTTATTTTAGACATAATCTACTGGTAAATTTACTATTTTACTCTTTTAGTAAGAAAAAATTGAAGTTTAAATATATTTTCCCTAATGCTAGGAATAAGACTTGAGTATTTTTTAAAATACTTTATTTTTCATTCATTTCTTTCTTTTTTTAAAAAAAATATCTTTATTGTTGAAAGTATTATAGATATTACCCTTTCCCCTCTTATTAACTCCACTCCTTCCTCAGGCCTTCACTGCACTATTGTCTGTGTCCATGGGTTATATATACATATATATGTAATTTATTTCTTGATCACACTATAATTTAATATGAGAATGAAAGAGAAGTTATAAAGTGAACAAAAAAGTAAATAGAAGAGGTGACATTTTATAAAGTATTTCAAAGTAAAATCTTAGGCAATAAATACATTTAAGGAAAGGTGCTAACATAAAACATTTTCATTTCAATCAATCTGGATATAGTTTTGGTTGTTATAGAACAGTGATTCTCAACCTTTCTAATACCTACAGCAATGGTTCACGACCCACAGGTTGAGAACTGCTAGCAGGGTCACCTAAGACCATCGGAAAACACAGATATTTACATTACGATTCATTAACAGTAGCAAAATTACAGTTATGAGGTAGCAGTGAAAATAATTTTATGGTTGGGGGTCACCACAACATGAGGAACTGTATTTAAAGGGTTGTGGCATCAGAAAGGTTGAGTACCACTGTTTTAGAAGCTAATAATTATTTAATGCAGTGTTTCCCAAAATGTGGTACGCGTACCCCCAGGGGTACGGGAAGGTTTGGTGGGGATATGCACTGCACCGTGCTTAGCTGCGCCTAATTCTATATTCTCATGAGTACAAGGGGTGCTCAGCATTATGAAAATTATAGAAGGGGTACACATATGTCAAAAGTTTGGGAAACACTGATTTAATGGATGAATCATGCAATATATTGACATGTAGAAAAATCAGCAAGTATGTTGAATTAAAATATTGTCACTATGTCACTTAGTAATATTTTTTTCTGTTTATTTTAATCAATTTGTATCCTTTTTTTAAAATAGGGAAGAAGAATTTGATGAGTATTTTCAAGATTTATTTCTGTGAGATGGAAGAAAGAAGCTTACTTTCCTTATTGTAAAAATATACTTTGAGGCTTTCTGAAATGTTTTATCTACAAGTCGCAGTTTGAGTGATTTGTCTTTGGAAATAAAAATTCATCCTCTCTCAAGATGTCAGATGCTTTGGAAGTTCATTTGTGTTATTGGAGACACTTTTCCCACCCTTTGAATATCTCTTGAGTTGCTTATCTACAACTATTTCATCTGTAGCTCCTAGAGGTTGGAGCCAGTACATTGTACAATTCTTTGGTTTGGGGGGGTTTTCTTCTTACTTATTCATATTTCCTTGACTCATTATTAGAATCTCACAAAAATTATTAAGTAGGTTAAGTATATCTTCAACTTCTTTACTTTCATTTGATACACTAGCATCTCTCTCTTGAGCACCTGTTTCACATTACTACCTATATCTAGCTGCCTCTTTTTTCCCCCTTACCTTTCTGTTGCTTCCTTCTCATCTCTACCACTGAAGGGAGTTAGTTATAATCAAATTTGATTTTTCAGTGTGTGTATTTTATTACAAAACAAATACCATGGAGAACCAAATGAGGTCCCAGTAGTCTGAAACAGAGGATGTATTCACAAAAGTTGACTCCAACAGAGTTTACACAATAATTAAACTAAATAATACAGTGTGCATAAAATAGGGCTTGTCTCAGATACAGTCATGCAAGTGTGGATATACTTAATGCACAGATATATTCTAAAAGGTAACTTCTTAACTCATAACAAGAGTAATTGGGCGTGTTTTAGGATAACTATGCACTCCTAGAAGCTGTGTAAAACTTCAATGTCTGTGTTTTTGTAGGGAAGGCTCTATAGTTTTCATCAAATTTTCAAAAGTATTTATTGATTAAAAAAAAAGTCCCACTTTTGTAAAGAGCAAAGATAGAAAGGAGAAGATGTATGATTTGATTAATAAAGACATTTGGTATTGCAAGAATGGTTAATGGACAACTTCATTTGTCAATTTAGATCATTATATATAATCACAACATCTAATCCACTTACACATAACTGGAGGCCCAGTGCATGAATTCATGCACAGGTGGGGTCCCTCTGGGTGGCCTGCGGGGATCTGGCCAAAATTTAGTCCAACACTGCCTGCAGCTCCTACCTGATGCTCCCACTCATGCCAGCTCCACTGTGCCTGCCATGGGCTCCTGCCCAATCAGTCCTGATTGGGAGAAGCTTGCACCACTGCAGCAGCACTCACCAGCATCTCGTGTCCTCCCAGAGGGAGGGGCCTGCGGGATTGGGCTTGAAGCCAGCTCTCTGACATCCCCCGAGAGATTCTGGATTGTGAGATGGTGCATGCCAGGCTGAGGGACACCACCAATGCACAGTCGGGACCGGGGAGGGACCACCATAGGGCTCCAGGGCATGTGCAGCCAGTCTCACTCAGCCCCAAACTGCCAGACCCCATCAGCAAGCTAACCTACCAGTTGGAGCATCTGCCCCCGGTGGTCAGTGCTTGTCATAGGAAGTGGCTGAACGGCCTTAGCATATTATTAGCTTATTACGCTTTGATTTGTTGAACAGTTGCCATGTCAATGGAAGATCGGACACTTAGCATATTAGGCTTTTATATAGGATGGCAAATCATAGGAGTCATATTTTTAAGGAGTTTTTGAATAGGCTTCAAGATGATGAGTTTAAAGATTGATTCTCCCACAGACCTATTTCAAATTTGACTATAGTGCAGTCAGTGTTGTTTAGTGGTTTGAAATATGAAATATACTTAATTATATTTATTCTTAAGTGAAGTTCCTAGTTTTGTAGATCTTAAGAGGGGGCACATTTCTTCCCCACAGTTCACTTTTTAGTAAATGAGGAAGGGAAGTGTTTGAGCTGACTGATATTTTTGGGTCCAAAAGCTAAAGAACAATTTTTTAAATGCAGCCTCTAAATCTTAGAAGTGGAATTTCAAAAATTATTTTAAGCAATAGAAATAAGATGTATAGAACCACTTATCCACTTAAATAGAAAACACTTATTTGGTTGTAGATATTGAGGTTTTTTTTTCTTAAAATATTAACTTATAGGCACTTCTCATTTATAAACTTGAGTGAAGAGATTTATTAAAAATATTCATATTTACTGAACACTTACCTTAACACTAGGCACTTCTCTAGGTGCCCGGTGGCATTATGAACAAAACCTCCTAAAATGGACAAAACCTTTCATCTCATGGACCTTACATTCTTATGTGAGAGTAGCAGTCAGGATTCTAAGTACCCAACTTACAAAAGTCTAACAAATGGTAAGTTATTTCTAGGCTGCTTAAAATTAATATCTCCTGGTTAACAAAACATTAGAGGCCATATCATCAATTTGTTTCATTATAATTTAGATATCTTTTGATTTAAAAAAATCTATGGTGTAATTATTATTTGGTCTGTTTTCTAATTCAGTCTATGGTTATAGATAAGTAAAGAAATGTTAAGTTTTTCTAATGTCCTGACATTCACCATGTAGTAGAAGTAGTGGATTGTCCTTATTATCTCTGGACAAATACATAGATCCTCGAAGGATCCCAGATTGAAGAGGGTGCAGGCTGGGCTAAGGGACACACACCCCTTGTGCATGGATTTCATGCACCTGGCCTCTAGTACTTTATAAGCTGCCAAAAGTGGAGTGGTCTTTACCATTCCATTATCAAGGGTAAAATGTAGAGGAGAGAGATGATAAGTAGTTCAGATTAAATAACCCTTGACTTGTTTTCTATATAGTATTTATATACATTTTATACCATGTATACTCCTACAATAAGACATGTTGTTGAGGTATTTTTAGTTCAGGAAGGGGTTTGAGTATATATCGTGATTATTAATGTTATGGGCTGAATTGTGTCTCCCCCACAAAGGCATATTGAAATAGAAATGCCCAGTGCCTCATTGTGACCGTATTTGGATATAGGGTATATAAAGAGGTAATTAAGGAGGTCATATAAATGAGCCCTAATCCAATGCAACTGTGTGCTTATGAGAGATTAGGACACAAATACACAGGAGGAAGACCATGTAAAGACACAGGGAGAGGCTGGCCATCTGCAAACCTGGGAGAAACCAACATCTTGAACCTCTAGCCTCCAGAACGGTGAGAAAATAAATTTCTGTTGTTTAAGTCATCCAGTCTGTGGTATTTTGTTATGGTAGCTCTAGCAAATGAGTACAATTAATAAGCACTTTAAAAAAGGAATGACATCTTTTAATTTAAAACAGAGGGGCACCAAAAAATGCACTCATTCTCATCTTATTTTGCACTTTTGTGGAACTTTATTTTATCCTCAGGTATTCTGGCTAGCAGTGTGTTCTCCCCTGGTAGTCACAAGAGGAGCTTTTATGAAGCCCCTCTTCCTGTGTTACTTGATGGTTTGCTGAATGAAATTTGCTCAAGTTCTTTTGAACGTTTTCTCTTTTTCTTCAAAAGTAGAAACAATGTTTGAAATGTAAACCAAAGGGAACATATTACAGCATTAGGCATGTTTTGGACTTTTTGTCATCAACACCACCTCCTGAATCTTCTGTAGCTAGTAAAAAGGAGAAAAGCAGTATTATTGGGAGTCTGTGGCTACATGGTGTTTTTATTCTAATACTCTAATGATATTAGTATTAACTTTACAGCTTAATTAGTTTTAGCTTATAGAAAATACTAAAGGCTTGACTATTTAAAAACTTAAATACATATTCAGAATTAGTCCACTTAAAAAATAGAATCTAATAAAGAATTAGCCAATTATAACATCTGTTTCTCAAGAGAATCACTGAAGTACACAATCTGGGAATCTGAGTTGTTGCTTTGGGCTAGACACAAAGCTTGTTGCCTGGAAATACAAAATAGTTTTGCTAGTTCACGGAAACTTGTCACTGTAATAGGATAAAAGTTCAGCAGTGATTTTTATGTGCATAAAGTAGAGGAGATCCACATTCAATATACTGAATACTAAAAAAAAATTTTTTTTTAAATGCCAGGAGCCACTTAAAGGACCTGATACCCTATTCCCCTGTTTATCATAAAATTGAGAGAAAGGTTAAATTTAATTGTACTAAGAAATATCACTTGCTCAGTAAAATTACCGCTTTTGTTATCTTTTTGAAGTGCAAATTAGATATTATGGCTTTCCTGTTTAAATCCCTTTAATGACTTCCCCTACCTCTTCTGGAACACACATCCTTAGTAAGGCCTTCAGGGCAACACAGCCTGGCAGGGCTGTCTGCATGACCAGCTTCGTCTGATACTTTGCCCTGGTTACTGTCTAGTCTCCTTACGTTCTCCAGTTGCACCAAACTTATTGCCACTTCAAAGCCTTTGTACAAATTCTCTTCTTCTTCTTCTCCCTTCTGAACCCCGCCTCTCTTTGCTTAGCCAGAGTTCAGAGTCTAGCATAAGCATCCTTCCTCAGGTACACACCTCATGCTTCCTCTGATAGTTAGATAACCAAGCACTCATTTATTTTAACATCTAGCTCCCCCATCTGTGAGATAAGGGCCCAGTCTCCCCAGGGCCTGCTTAACACAGGGTCTTGTACTGAATAAGTACCTAAGTGAATGGACGTCAAGGAGTCAGAAACTCCTATTTTTATTCTGTTGAGGGATATCCTTAACCTCTTCAGCAAAAGACTTTCTCCCTCTTTGAAGTCTTTAAAATACTGCTAGACACAATAGAATGCTCTAAAAGGACTGTTGTATCTTCTGTTTTGCAAGGCCTTTCCAGATAGAGATGATTTCTTTGTTAAACAATAAGAATTCCTTACAAAACTTTTTGAGTGCTGAACTCTCAAGGAAAAAAATGTCATCATATTCACATTCTACTTTAAAGATGACAGTTTGAGACATCTGATGAACTAATAGTTGATCCTGAATGTCTTACAGAGGTTTTCTGAAGAAAGTCGAACAAAGTGAATTTAGGAGAAGCTATTTCATTAGGAAAAATAGTGTGAGGAGACATTTGAGGTGCAGGCAGGCAAAGTCTTGGAGTACCGGTTGACACCTCTTTCAGCTGGCCAGCTTTGCTTTACATGTAGAGCTACCTGGAGATCTGTAAAACCTTCTCATTATATAGAGAAGAATATTAAGCTTAGAGAGGTTCAGCAAGATTCAAAGTCTCAGCAAATA